CAAGGGGCGTTTTGGTAAAAGCGTTTGGGCCAAAGAACAATGAGCTCGTCCGGGCAGTGAAACCCTCCCACGGAATCCCCACCCGCCTGCCCGCAAGTGCCCGGGTGAGCTCCTCAAAGGAAGGGGCACCTCTCCCGTGAGCACCCGCTGGGACCCCCAGGGGACTTGGTCCCATCTACTGTGCCCAGCGCCTCCAGGCCAAGTCCCCGCGTCTGGGAAAGCCCGGGCTTTGCAAGCTCCTGCCGGACTACCTTGAAAAACATCGTCGAGGTTCACAGTCACTCCCACCTGTGGGGCGTGGGGGTGGGGGGGGGAATGCACTTCTAGGTGCTCTTTCTAGTGAAACCAAAACTGGGCTCTCTGTTGCTTACCAACTCGAAAATATAATCATAACTAGCAATAAAAACGGTGATTACCATTTACAACAATAACAATTACAACAGCGGCAGCCATTTATGGCGTCCCTGCCACGTGCCAGGACCCGTGCTTTGTGGAACTAACGTCGCCTGGGCCCTCCCTACAACCCTCTGAGGTCAGTATTATTTTTTTCTGCTTTCAAGGCTCGGGGCCGGGGCCCAGGGAGGTGATGTGACTCGTCCAGGGTCACACGCTCAGCCAGGGGCCAGGTTGGAGCTGCCCCGAATGGGAGCCAGGACACCCCCGCCTAACGGGATTTCTGCAGGAGAACCCTCCCTTTCCCCCAAACACGCAAATCTACCCGCCAAGCCCAACGACAACCAAGCGTGGTGGTGGTGTTCAGATGTCTTCCCGCCCGGCCTTGCAGGGCCTCCCTACCTTCTAGAACACGGTCCTTCAGTGGGGCCCACGCCGGTGCCTTAGGGGAGGTTTCCCCGGACACTGGGAGCACGCGCCTGGGCGGCTGCCTGCCAGGGTGGACAAAGTCCTCCGGCCCCCCCTCGGCCCCAAGGCCTTCTGAGGATGGGAGCACGTGGGACGGGTCCACAGAGTCGGCCCTGGTCAGGAGCGGACCACATGGACCCAGAGGTAACCCTGCTGCAAAGCACCCCCCACCCCCTGTTCCCACTAAGCAAAGCAAATATTGCCTGTACCTGTTCACGTGGCCGGCTCGTGACGGGGACGCGGTGGAGGCCCCGTCACCACACACTGCCCATGTGAGCAGCCAGCCCCCGCCAGCTCCCCGGAGACCCTTCACCCAGGATCTGAGACTGCAAGTGGCCAGAGGCTGGGCACGGCGAGGCCCCAGGGCAGGCAAGGAGCCGCCCTGGTTGAAAACAAAAACAATACCGGGGCCATCTTCCCACCAGCCCGCCACAGTCCACGGGAGCCGGTCCCCCTGCTCAGCACAGTCTATTAAATCCAGAAGTGATTAAAAAAAAAAAAAAAAAAAAGAGGCCGGCACTAGTTTCGTTTTCGGAACCTCGTCTTTTGTGTGCGTCATCAAAAATAAAATTTTGCTTGGATGGGATGTCCCGACACAGTAAGAGGCCCCTGGTGGGACCTGAGTCTCTGCTGGAACAGAGCTGGCCCTGAACAAGACAAAGGCAGAGCCCACAGGCAGCCCCACTGTTTCCTGGGGACTCAGCTTGGTCACATTCCGCATGCCAGGGGCACACTTTGGGGCAGCCGATGGGCCTCTGGGGCTTTGACGAACAGCACCCCCCCCACAAAGTGGCCCTGGGGGTGCGTCCTTGGGTGCTCAGGCCTGTCCCTGTTCCCCGTGTCTGGCCCCGTAGGCCCGTGGAGAAGTAGTGATGGGTGCCTCGTGTTTGGGGATCTGTTTTAACCCTGGGGGGATGCCCAACAGCCTCAGGAGAATTCCACACCATTCCCACCCACTGGAATATGTTACCGGTCATCTGTGGACCCAGAGGAAAGGTCTCCCACATTTTGCGAGTGAGCCCCCCACCCCACCCCCCACCGCACTTGAGCTGCCCATCATTACCAACCTCGTCATGGCCAACACCGCGCCAAGCACAGCTCCCAGCTGGAGCGCACGCCTTCAGCCGCTGCACCCCCCGTTTCTGAGATCACTCCCAAATGTCCCACCCCAGGTTTCGTGTCTGCTAACTGCCTCTGATACAGTCATTAAAAAAA